AGTGTGTTCTGTGCACGTTGCCGATGCATTTGAACACGGTAAAAGTTCTTTGAAACCGACTGTGGCAGGTCCAGGCACCCATTGCGCTGGTGGTTCCTCGACTATGTTATTATTAACTCCTCGGAAGCCAACAATATCTTGTTATGCTGGCATGACATTCAATTCGTTTGTGTTAATGGCTGGATGTATTTGCTGATGGAGTATGGCCAGGTCCCAGTGTACACCCAATAAAGAAAAATCTGATCCATCTCTGTGCCTTGTCAGATAGTGTTCCGGCCGGCTCATGAGGTCAGCCTGATAACCTTTGGCACAACAGGTGAGAATGAACTACTGTCTTTTTGATAACTGTTCATTTTCCAGCCCCACTCTCATCTGCTGGCTCTCATAACCAGTGCTCACAGTAAAACGCGGTCACCAAGCGAATCTTTGATATAATTGGTCCAGAAACCACAAAACTTGGCCATAACACTCTGCAAGCCATGATGAATGATATCGCATTGCATCAGCTGTTCTGACTGCAGTGGAATATGTTTTTTAAGATCAATTGTTGGGCACAGCGCAGGAACATCGAATTCTCTCCATGACGAACTGGTGGCTGAAGGTGACGACACACAGTATCGGAACATTACAGAGATAAAACCACTGCAGGTGCCTGACGTGGGATACCTGTCAGCGGTGTCAGGCTTGGCGGTGAGCTCTGGAGTGAGCGATTTTCTTGATGCCCTCGTTGTGGGCTTGGATCTGCTCATAAAGGCAGTGGGAAGCGAACCAAGACGGGCCAAGGCTGCAAAAAAGATTTTGCTGCTGTCAAATTTCGTTACTGGGGTGAGTTTGGGTGGAACAGGATGTGTCCACAGGCTGTTTAACAAGCAAATTTGCAGCCTGCTGTGAGACAACAGAATTGTGTCTGTAAATGCGACCTTTGTGCCCCCTCCAAATAATAGCATGTGTCAATCACCAGCATAGCTGTACAACTCTGCCCCTGGCGAGTGGGTTGTGTGACCACTGTTTTAAGATAACTAAAGTGAGACTCCTTTGAGCTTTTCCATGTCCTGTCCATACCACTACTGTACAGCCCAGTTGGACCATATGGTGCTAAGTGCCCAGTGCTCTCTGCCCTACTGTTTTAATGTTTTCTACCCTTACAAATCTCTGGTACCACAAGAATCGAACTCTTACAACTGGCACATTCGGTGTTCATGCCAGCACTGCTTTCTTGCCGAACCGCAACAGTGAAAGAACTCTTGCATACCTCACCTTCTTTTGCGCGCTTGACAGGAGAGATGACAAGCATAACTACAGCATTCGTTTGTATCGAATTCAATCGACTCAAAATCTACAAATGCACTGGAATTCTTAAATGTTATGCTTTCAAATGCCTGTGTCCATGCAGCACCATGTTTACCAGTGGGTGAGCTACAGGTGCAGTCAGTGTGAATAAATGGCCACACTGAAGGTGCTGGGGCCCCGGGTTGCGTGTGCCATGTGCATTCACATCCCCTTGTGTGGCAGGTCAAACCCCTTCCTGATGCCTTTCGAGGGCCTATGGTGCAAAAATTGCAGCAAAATGAAGTGAAATTGCAGGCAGTGTCCATTGACTTCGACTGCCCATTTAGCCCTGGCAAGGAAGCAAACCTTTGCATAGTCAAAGATCTCCTGCGGCAGACTGCGGGAGAGGTAGTGCATGCTGCAAACGCCTATGAAGTCTTGAAGATGTTTGGCAGCAAGGAAGTGAGTCCATACCTGGGTTACCACGGGCCACTGCACATTGGCGACATGCTGCAAATCGGCGTTCGAGTGTACAAGAAGGTATCCCAGGAGAAGATGCCCACTTTGAAGTTGTATTCAGACAGGTTAAAGGACCCTGATGCCGAACACCAGGTTAAGAGGGAGCTGGAGTATAAGACGCTGTCCAACCCAGACCAGCCAGTGCCCCCTGAAGAGAGGGTGAGAGCGTACAAGTATGGGAAGCAGAAGGTACCTTTGTCGAATGAGGAGCAGGAGAGCCTGGCCTATGCACCAGAGAAGGGGATTAGTCTGCTGGGCTTTGCTGACAAGAGCCAGGTATGCTGTCCCATAGGGCATGTTCTGTTTTGGGCAAAGTTTGTTTCAAGAATTTTTGTCTTATGGAAAGCCCAACTTTGCTGACAAGAGTTTCACTGGCATCCCCTTCTAGCGGACTTCCCAAAATACTTGAATCTGTATGGAATGTACCTTATTTTTTAGGATTTTAGGATCAAGCAGAGTGGGGATGGAATGACTGCCTCTCAACAGGAGATACCATCATTACACAGTGTTAGTGTCCTCCTCCTAGCAGTATATAGCCCTCCCTGGGGCCCTCAATCATGTTTGTATCTGCCACCTAGCGCCAGTATCCACCACAGAACTTGCTAGGATACATTGGATACAGTTGCACAACTCTGGTTGAGGAGCAGTCTTTCATACAAACAAATGTGACTGCAGCAAGCTCTGTATAGTACTGGCCTTTTGCCACCAACATGAAGCGCTGTTGATGGCATCATACCTCATAGCTTTTTTCCCCTGTGACCAGCTGGGAAGGAGGTTGTTCGGTTGCTGAACAGCCACAGGCCACTTGGGAGTGCTTGAAAGGCGTGTAGGAAAACTGGTTACGTGTGGATCGAACTTGAGCCAACATCACACAAGGATGCAGTTGGCATCTCCGCGACAGAGGGAGGAATGGTGGCATGTGGAGAGCAGTCATATGGCCCCATTTCAGCTGGGTGAATGGGGATGGGAGCCAAGAGGCGAAGGCTATGTGCTGGAATGCTCGTGCACCGGCATTTGCTACCTCGGTTTCCATGATAATGAAGGCTTGCATTGTTGTATGTGCTGTGCAGTTGTCGATAGTTCTGCTGTAATGATGCCATTTCCTGGGCTTGAGCTTCCAAAATGTCCTCCTCAGCTTCTTGAATCAGGGGTCGAAGTACATTGTATTCATTTGCTGGATCGCTTCGTTTGGGGTCCTGTGTGCTCCAATTCCATTCTCCAGAATGACAGAACTTCTTTCTTTGAGTCAACTCCATGCGACACAGCTACGTGCAGTTGGCACCTGTTCTTTCTGTCATGCCCTTTGGTGGCTGCCGGGTCAGTCCCTTGCATGCCTTTGCATCGTATTGCAGTGATCCCTATGACGCATTGTGAGTGCTCATGCTCACTCGGCTCCATGCATGCAGCTCAAGTCCCCAGAACTCAGCATCATCTTAGTGTGCTCAAGGGAGCGCAGTCGCAATATTTATGGTCAATAAGGGACCCCATGGTGCTACAACAAGCATCCCCTCCCAAGCATGATAACTAAGATCATGGAAGTGTACTGTCCTTGCCAACATACGATCTTCATCGCCTGTGCTCTGCTTGTTCCTGTCAGGCTCCCAGACACGAGTACATGAAGGACAGCTACATGGTGCTGCCCTCAGCCGATGGTGGGTCCTGTGAGGCGCTGTCTGCCCTCTGCCATGCCCTCGAAGCCGAAGGACGGGTCATGATCGTTCGTGCATGCCTACGTGTTCGATCTGCCCTGTTCCTGGGAGTGATGACCCCCGTCATTGGATCGCCCTCCCAGCCGGACGCCCTCTGCATGAACGTTCTACCCTTCAAAGAGGATGTGCGGTTCTATGCCTTCTCATCATTTGACTCGCGACCCGAGTTTTCACCCACAGCAAAACAGCTCGAGGCTGCTCAAAAGGTGCGGGAAGCAAGCTGCGGTTTTCGGTGTGGGGTCAGTAGGTGCTTTAATTCTGACCTGGGCTGTTCGCTGGTAGCGTTGTTAGTGTTGCTGAGTTGCATGCATGGCTATGACAGCATGTTTGATTGCGCAGCTACCCGTTATCGATTTGCATTGATATATTTGCATTGATTCAATGTCAATACAGAAGTGTGGACAACGGTGCCCATGGCAGCATTTGGGGCTGGCGGTGGTGTAAGCTGGCACCCTGGAGTGTGCTCGCTGCCACTTGCTTCAATCTTTCGACCATGTGTCCTGCACCTTTGCAGGCGATGCACGCCACACGCCAATCGCGAGTTGCTGTCCACAAGAGCGCATTCTCCTCCTTGCACCCTGACAATGAGCCGCCATTGCCTTGTTATGTAAAAATGAATGATGATGAATCCAATATTGAGCACTTAGCAAGCGATTCATCAGCATCGCGTCGCCCAGCGGCCAACGTCTGCACGCCCTCGCCCTGGCATGCACCGCTGCTTGACGCGCTGCATCCGCCGCCCAGGTCGTCGACAGCATGGACCTCACGGCGGGCGGCCGCGAGCGGCTCCAGCCCGAGACCACTCCAAACCCCATCCTCCGCCGTTTCGTCCACCTGCTGGGGGCGAGGGTCGCCAACCCGGACGCCACCCCCATCGACCCCGGCGCAGACGTCCTGGCCTGCCACACACTGGACCCGATGCTCGACGACATGCCGGGCTGCCGGGAGGCCCTCAGGGACGCCGAGACGAGCTTCGTGACCATCTCATCTAGCAGCCAGTCCAAGGCCGCGGACGAACGAGAAGCGCAGGCCGCCGAGCCGTCCCGCTTCGGCAGGCTGGCCGACGCGCCGATCTTCGATCCCGATTCCAACGTCAAGTCCGCCGTCTCGACGGTCGGCACGTCTACGCCCATCGACGACTTTAGAGATCTGTTGTCCAGCGGCCGCGTGGACGACGCCTTTGAGGGCATGCAGGCAGCTGTGCGGGCCCTGATCGCCTCCAGCGTGGGGGCCAGGCTGTACGACAAGGCCCTCAGGTGCCTTGGGGCCCTGCGCGAGGCCGCCGTGGGACGATCCCGGGCGCGCGAGTTCAACGACTTCATGCGCCGGTTGGCGGAGGAGTCTAAGGGCGACGCCAAGCTGGGCGAGGCCTGGGGGATGGTGGTGGCGTCGGGGATCAGCCTGGTGAGCAACGACGAGGCAGCAGGGGCGGGGGTGACGAGGGCGGAGGCCGCAGACTTCCTGCGGCACAGCGCCCCCTGTGCGGGAGCCGATGACGAGGACATGGATGCCAAGGAGGAGGACGAGTTCGAGGGGATGGAGTAGCGATGTCGGGCTCGGCCCCTTGTTGTGGGCTCATGGCATTCTTTTAGCCATGTGGGCTGTTGCTGTGTTCAGATTGCATTGAGCGCATGTACATGGGAGTGTTGCACTGCCGTCGGGTGCCAGCAAACCCCTGAGCGTGATTGCGCAGTTGAGACTCCCTTTTGGGCAAAGTTGGATCTTTGCCATCCGAGCGTTCAACGAGCTAATCTCCCTCTCGAATGGGGAATTATATCTGGCCACTGGACAGGCTCTTGGCGAGTCCAAACAACGTCTATCTAAAGAACGCGAGGAAAAATCAGGTCAGCGGACATGGTAGGTGAAGTTTTCAATAGCCAAACCTATGCTAGTGTGACCAACGAGGTGGAAACACACAGGCGGAGACACAAACTCAAGGTTTCGGAAATGTTGCCTGGAAAGTGAGTCCCAGGAGCTGGGTTGTTTGTGGGCATGACTCTGCCAACATTGTTTTGATGATCAACCCAACATTCCTTCTCGTAGCTCTTTCAACACCATTGTGGCTCAATCCACATGTCCGAGCTCGTCCACTTGAGCGCTCACTGTGGGCATTGCGTCAACCAGCCACACGAAACCCCCACAAACTACCGGGTTTAATCATGTTTGGGGCCGCTGCTTCCCCACAGTTCCATTTCTCAGCTACTATTCCAAGAATATATATCTGAAAAAGGAGGAGCGTCCAGAAATTGGGCAATCCCCCATGAGTCCAAGCAATGCAACTGCACGCACGGCCTCCCTCAGGAGGGAAACGCACGCCGCCCTGCCCAATAATTCTAACAACTTGACCTCATGTGACCAAGACCATCACGTTGGCGCAGTAAACAACTGTCTACTCATGCAGCTATCCCTCCTAACTTACGATTTAAGGTCAATGAGCGCACAGCGACCCCACACAATAAAACTAAAACCACAGAGCCAGAGCCTCATCCAAAACCAGAGAATGGGTACTTGGGGGGGATGGAAGCAAAGAAGAGTAATAGATCATAACAAAGACAAACATCACGCCAACTGAATCATCACTGGTGCTACACCAGATACTGAACAACCAAAACGCCTTTTTACAAAGGATAATGCCACACGACCAGCCACACGTGCACCACGTGTCGCCTCACCCCATTAGATGCTAGTACTACACCCCATCTGGCCTAGCCCAGCCAACACACACCAAACCGAGAGCCCCCAACTATGCCACTGCCAGATGTGTCCCAACGACTGTCCACAATCACGTTACACCCACTGGAAGCAAAATTCCGTGGACACGTTAAATCCCCAAAACATTCCACGCTATGGTGTAAAGCATAGGGGGTAGTATGTTTCTCTGGTAACTGGGTTCCTGGGAGGTTAAAGTACAATAAACATTATGTTTGTACAATTCACATGAAAGTAGGCTTTATTAGAAGTTTATATATTCTTAAACCACTTCCATTGGGTTAGTGGTAGAGGAGTTATTGATAGATATATTTCTAGTACTTTAGACCCCCTCTGCCAGACCGTATTGGGGGATGAGATACTATCATTGGGCCCGTACACAGCATTGTCACGTGATCCGGGCGGGGGCCACCCCCTCAAAGGGGTGACCACCTATCAGACTGTAATTCTTTTCTCTCGCCCACTTCGCACACCCCGTAGCTGCACGCACGACCCACACGATGCCGCGCTCCCACAGTGTGCACGGCTGCCCTGCACCCAATCACCTGCAAGCTTGGGCCCACACTGCATACCTAAAGGAACGAGCGCCCCGGCAAAGCCCACCGGTCATCCAATGGAGGAGGTCCATCTGGGCCCATTCGGGTGCCTCGGCAGGCACATCACCCGCATCAAACCTAAAACCACGCCAAGTGGTTTCGGAGCCAGTGGGCGCGGATGACGAAAATGCGCCACGCAGCATTAGAGCACCAAAGGCCCCCATCCCGATGGAAGGGGGGTCCCATCCAGGAGATCCGAGGAGAAGCAGCTGGCCAAGTGCCCCGCGAGGGGGCCTGAATTGGCCAAGAAGGACGTTGTGCATCTGGCCATGTGGGGGGAGGTGCATTGTTTTGTTGCTTTTGCAAAGGATCCCGGTGAGCACAGGGGCGAGCATTTCCCCACAAAGATCGCCATGGATGGAGGTGGGTGTAAGGGTGAAACGCTGAATTTTCACATAATGAATATGGGCACACTGCCCTGTGTTGCTCAAACACGCTCAACATACGAGGGAGTGGCTCTTGGGGCCCAAGCGGGGTGGGTTAGAAGGGATAAAGGCCAGCGAACCTTGGGGACCAGCGGGTTGGTGAACGGGAGAACAAGGGACAAACCAATTATGAATTTGAAACTTGGTGGGTGTGCCAGAAATAGGATGACTCATCCTATTTCTGGCATGACCCTTGGAATGCCTTGGGAGGTGGATATAAATACAGTCACACCGAACCAGTTTGTAATCAAAGTTGTGGTTCAAGTTCCGACCGGACTATCCCCGAGTCGAACGGGGTTCAACGGGCCGTTTCCTGACCGGTCAAAGGGGACCTCGCCCCTTACAATTGGTTTTGGAGCCTTCAATTCTGACGACCTCGAAGCTGACCCACCAAATCAAGGACTGCGGCGGCAGCGAGTGGTGGAAGTTGTTGAGGGGTGGCTATCACTGCGGACAATAAGAGAGAGACCGCGTGGTTCTATCAATCCAAAAGGACAGCCTGAGAACACTGGGAAGATATGGCCGGAAGACCTGGGTGCGCAAGGATGGCATGACAGGAAACGACAGGAAAGCTAAGCCAAGGGCTGCGGTAATGAGAAAAAATTGTTGAGGGGCGGGAGTCATCGCGGCGAACAAAGAAACCATATGGAATCCGTGAACCCAAGAGGACAATTCGAATAAACTAAGATACGGGGGCCAAGGGCCTTGAGTGCATATGGATAGCGCAACAAAGGATGGCAAGAAGACCGCGTGGAGACAACAGTCGAACTGGAACCACATGAGAGGGGTCCCTTGGAGTCGAAGGGAGAAGAAAAAGCCACAAACAAGGCGCTGGAATCTTATTGTGGAAGACAAGTGCGTTGGTGGATGGCCATCCATGAAATGGACCTGTATAAAAGGCCGCAAGATTGGGGAGAATACAACAAGACATGGGTAGATTATGAATGGTGGGTCGACGCGAGGCGAGAGCCAATAGTGAAGAAAGGCCTGACAGGAGAAATCAACGAGATGCAACAAAAGCACAGGAAGCTGCTCTGCTTCAAGGGGACACTAGGAGGACAAAGAGTGCAAGTGTTGATTGACAGAAGAGCCACCGGTAACTTCATTAGCCAGGAGTTCTGTGAACAATACGGCATACACTGGAGAGAGAAAGGTGACACCCAAACACTACATCTGGCAGACGGGTCAGTACGGCACGAACCCGAACAAGAGGTGGATACCTACAAGCTACGAATAAAAGAATTTAAATGCTAGCCAGCCTTCCAAGTCACGGAGCTGGGATGACACGACGCAATTCTAGGAGTGCCGTGGCTGTGCGAATTCAGCCCAAGGATTAACTAGAAGATTAACATATTGCAAATCAAAGACAAGAAAGCGCTATGGCTACTAAATGGATTACGGGAAGATGATGAAGAGACCCAACGAATCAACGCAATCACCCTATCCGGAAAGGACCTATCCCAAGCCTTGAAAAAGGGAGCGAAGACTTACATGGTGGTAGTAAGAGAAACCACCAATGAAGAAGCAAAAGAAGGTGACAAAGACCAACACATCAGGGAAACACTACTGAGAGAGTTCCTGGAGGTCATGAGTGACAAACTACAGTTGGGACTACTACCTGAAGGGAGACTAGAACATAGCATTGAGTTGCTACCCGATGCCAAGCCTGTGCATACACTTGCATACCAGCTCTCTCCTAAGGAAAACGATGAGTTAAAGTGGCAAATCGAAGAACTACTGGATGTCGGGTTAATATAACCAAGCAATTCGCCACGGGGAGCTCCAGTACTATTCGCCAAGAAAAAGATGGTGGGCTATGAATGCGCATCGATTATAGAGCTCTTAACAAAAGAAGCATCAAGGACTGGTACCCCCTATTCGAAATTGACGATTTAATAGCCAAACTTGCAAGGGCTACCGTCTTCAGCAAGATGGACTTATGGTCCAGCTACCACCAAATACGAGTAAGGGAGGAAGACATACCAAAGACAGCCTTTGTCATACGACACAAAAGCTACGAGTACCTGGTGATGCCCTTCGGACTGTGCAATGCGCTGAGTTCCTTCCAGCAATACATAAACTAAGTGTTCAAGAACGTGGCGGATACCTTCCTTGTCATCTACTTGGATGACATACTCATGTACAGCCGAAATATGGAAGAGCACATGGAGCACTTGCGGATCATCATGAGATGCTTATGGGAACACGGGTTGGTCGTCAGGCCCCACAAGTGCTCCTTTGAGGCCGAAGAAATGGAACTCTTTGGGGTTGTAGTCGGAAGGCATGGAGCCCGACCAGACAACTTGAAGATCAAAATAGTTCAAAACTGGCGAACACCAAAAAATGTGCATCACGTAAGAGCATTCCTCGGGCTGGCCAATTTTTATTGACATTTTGTGCCAGGGTTTGCCTCCATGGCAAAACCCATGACAGAACCCCACCAAGGTTAGTGAGCCCTTTGCGTGGGGAGACGCATAGGAGATATCCTTTCAAACGCTGAAAGACTGGTTAACTATAGTACCCCATACTACTGCTGCCAAATGACGACTTGCCCTTTGTCGTCATGACTAATACTAGCGACTTTGCAGCAAGAGCAGTTTTGATACAAGACCAAGAATGCGGTTTGCAACTCACAGAATACATGTCCAGACGACTTGGGGGAGCTGAGATGCGCTAGCACAACTGTGGCAAAGAAATACTGGCCATCATTCACTCTTTACGAACATGGTGACATTGCTGCGTCGTGATACCATCGTGTGATCGAGATCACAGTGGCATTGTTGTGATAGAGACTCGCAGTTTATGGGAAATTTTT